AAGTGAGGTTCTTACCCACGAAAGCTTATGCTCCCAATACTTCTGTTAGTCTTAAAGGTGCCACAGGACCCTCAATTGTGAGACTGTGACTTTTTGGGCATCTAGTAAAGTGTTCTTAAATTATTTCCAATTATCATTCAAATTTTTCTTATTAAATTTTTTCTCACGACTGCTTTGGCTCATCATTGTTTTCAGCTTTGTGAAATTGGCCTTATTATTATTATGCTGGCACATTATAAATGTGATCAAGTAATGATCACTTGTACCTATGTTACCATTAATTTTTAGTTCTGTGATCTTTATCTGTTGGGACAAGGTTGAATAGAGAATCCCCTGCATTGGCTGCAGCGCTTTTTTAGTTAGGAAAATTGTCACCTATGATGATTAGAAATTTCAGGGATGTTTTTGTACTGGCAGCATGAGACCTCCAGAATATGTAACTCAAATTGAAGTCCCCTGTGATCACACAGTTATTTTCCCTACCCATTATAGGTAGGTGCATAAGGAGGCAGTGAACCTGTTCCCTAGTGTGATTTGGTAGTCTGTTTCTTATTCTTAATGTGTGTTTATGTGTTTATTTGTCAGAAAGAGGCAACAAGAATGGATGGTGTGTTTACAAAGTTTTTATCAGTATGAATTTGTGGTGGTCATGTTATTTATAAGTGAACTAAGAATTAGAGCAAGTACTGGGATTTTTTAAATGCATATTTGTTGAAAACATACCATTTATTTATAAGATGAGATCTCTGTTATATCTGAAGTATATAGTTTATTTGTTTTGATGTAAAGTGGAAGAACGAGATTTGGACAGAGTAGAATTGTTGCTGAAAACATTTCAGTTGTGTTATGACATTTTGCAGTTAAATGTTTCATTAATTTTAGAGAGACAAGGTATCTGAGGTAATATCTTTTATTGGACCAACTTCTGTTGGTGAAAGAGACTAGATTTCTAGCTTACACATAGCTCTTTGTCAGAATGTTAAACATGCACAGAGAACACGCTCAGATGGTTACCTATACATACATTATACATATATTCTATCCATGGATGAAAAATACTAGGAGAAAAGAGGCTTTTAGAAAACTATGCTTATCTTACAATATTAAAATTGATCATGTAATGCCAGAATGCACATTTCAGTCTTGCCAATGAAGGCCTAGGAGTTACCCAATTTTAACCATATTACTAAATAGAACTATAGCCCTGTAGAATGCAAGACTGTAGAACAATTCAGAATACCAACTGTTCCCAGGTATACTGGCAGGTCCAAAACATTTTTAAAATATTTCTGGTATTATTACCCTGTAGTAATGAGGTCCCCCAACACAGTAAATTTTAATGATGTAGATAGTACCTATGGCACCTGAATAGAAGTATGTTACTAATGGTATCACATCTTACTGATGTTTTCAAAACTGTTTGTCATAAATAAAAAAATACCAATGATCATAATGAATAACTAAATGCAAACAAAATATCAAATCTGTACTGTTTATTATACCTTTTAATTGTGATAGATGTTTATTCCCAAATTTTTACTTTTAGCATTATCTGATACTCATGGGAATTTTATCCTGAACGGAAATTTTGTTGTAAGCATGTCTAAAAAAGAAATTGGTATACAAGGAGCCATTTTTGAGTACAATGGTTCAAACAACACTGTAGAGCGAATTAACAGCACCCATCGGCTAGAAGAAGAGCTAATTTTGCAGGTGAATTTTCAATGTTTTAATAAGTTTGTAAAGTTAATAAGTGTTTATAGTTTTATAGTCATGGGTCAATTCATTGAAATAAAGTATTATTTTTATATCTTTAAAGGTATTATGTGTAGGGAATTTATACAATCCTGATGTGCGTTATTCATTCAGTATTCCTATAGAAGAGAGAAGTGATCTGTTTCTCTGGGATCCATATGGTCCCTGGCAAGAGTGCAGCAAAATGTGTCAAGGTATTGTGAATTCTTTTTGAAATCAGAATTCTGTTTTATGATGTTATTTCATATTATTACATGTAAATTCAGAAGTATTTAACATCATGTCACATCATGCATCTCAACCTGTGTATGCCCAAACGTGGCACGCAATTTGGGATAAAGTCCTGAAAATGAGGTACACCAATAAATGCAGGAAACTTCAAATGGTGAGGGATTCATTTTCTTGGTGTAAATAGAGTTCTGTATCTTCTATTCTGGATTCTCTATTTCTAATGTAAATAATTTTCAACTGTAAAAGTGTGAAATTAGCATGAAATTATAGGTAATTTAAATTTAGAGATTAAAATGAGTGATCTTGAAATTAAGGTACACTTAAGATATGTGTCATCCAGAAAAGTGTGACAACGTGGATTGGGTTCATCAAAGGATTAATTAGTTCTATTTAGTTTAAAATTTTATATATAGAGAAAAGTATTATTATTTTATTTTATTTTTATTTATTTGTACATTTTCACAATAATTCTAGCAGTAATAATTGAATTTCTATATTTACGGAAGCAGTTTGACTCAAAAAATGGTTACATTATATAATCTCATAAAAGACTAGCCACTTGCCTACAAGAATCTGATTGATACGGCTAGTGCTCTTGCTTGACATGAACTAAGCCAGAGTGCCAACAAAAGGAGCCATCTGTATGTTTTCTAAACCTTAGCTGAATCTCCTAAAGAGTTAGAGAAAGCTCAGTAAAATTTTTCAGTTAAAGAAACCTATCATAGTGGATTAAGCTTCATATCCAAGCTTGTTATGAATAACCAGGAAGCTCAGACAATAGACATTGCAGAGGATAACAAAAAGCTATGTCTCATCTGCATATGGATGGCATTTGAGTCCTTGATGTCTCACTGCTGTGTGTAATGTTGCATCGAACTAAAGAGAGAATTGATCCCTTTGGGTATGTCTACACTACAAAGAAAAACCCGTGTCAATGAGTCTCAGAGGCCAGGTCAGGCTGCGGCTCAGGCTGTGGAGCTAAAAATAGAAGTGTAGATGTTCTTGCTTAGGCTGGATCCCAGGCTCTGTGACTGTGGGTATGTCTACACTACGAAATTACGTCGATTTTATAGAAGTCGATTTTTAGAAATTGATTTTATACAGTTGATTGTGTATGTCCCACTAAGCGCATTAAGTCAGCGGAGTGCGTCCTCACTACCGTGGCTAGCATCCACTCACGGAGTGGTGCACTATGGGAAGCTATCCCACAGTTCCTGCAATCTCCGCTGCCCATTGGAATTATGGGTTAAGCTCCCAATGCCTGATGGGGCAAAAACATTGTCGTAGGTGGTTTGGGGTACATGTCGTCATTCTCCCCTCCCTTCCTCTGTGAAAGCAACTGTAGACAATCATTTTGCACCTTTTTGCTTGGGTTACCCATGCAGACACTATAGCATGGCAAGCATGGAGCCCGCTCAGCTCACCGCTGCTGTTGTGAGCATTGTAAACACCTCACGCATTATCCTGGAGTATGTGCAGAACCTGGCTAGGAGACACCAGCACAAGGACGATTGTGAAGAGGACATGGAGACAGACATTCCTGAAAGCATGGGATGTGGCAGTTGGGACATCCTGGCAGCAGTGGGGTAGGTTGATACAGTGGAACGCTGATTCTGGGCCCGGCAAACAAGTACAGACTGGTGGGACCGCATAGTGTTGCAGGTATGGGATGATTCCCAGTGCCTGCGAAACTTTCGCATGTGTAAGGCCACGTTCCCAGAACTCTGTGAGTTGCTTTCCCCCACCCTGAAGCACAGGAATACCAAGATGAGAGCTGCCCTGACAGCTGAGAAGTGAGTGGCGATAGCACTGTGGAAGCTTGCAACACCTGACTGCTACCGGTCAGTCGGGAATCAATTTGGAGTGGGCAAATCTACTGTGAGGACTGCTGTGATTCAAGTAGCCAATGCAATCACTGACATTCTGTTATCAAAGGTAGTGACTCTGGGAAATGTGCAGGTCATAGTGGATGGCATTGCTGCAATGGGTTTCCCTAACTGCGGTGAGGCGATAGACGTAACGCATATCCCTATCTTGGCACCGGACTACCTTGCCAACTAGTACATAAACCGCAAGGGGTACTTCTCAATGGTGCTGCAAGCACTGGTGGATCACAAGGGACGTTTCACTGACATCAAAGTGGGATGGCCGGGAAAGGTGCATGACGCTCGCATCTTTAGGAACTCCGGGCTGTTTGAGCAGCAGCAAGAAGGGATTTACTTCCCAGACCAGAAAATTACTGTTGGGGATGTTGAAATGCCAATAGTTATCCTTGGAGACCCAGCCTATCCCTTGCTCCTGTGGCTTATGAAGCCATACACAGGCAGCCTGGACAGCAGTAAGGAGCAGTTCAACTATAGGCTGAGCAAGTGCAGAATGGTGGTAGAATGTGCCTTTGGATGTTTAAAAGCTCGCTGGCGCTGTTTGCTGATTAGGTTAGACCTCAGCACAACCAATATTTCCATTGTTATTACTGCTTGCTGTGTGCTCCATAATATCTGAGAGAGTAAGGGGGAGACATTTATGGCAGGGTGGGAGGTTGAGGCAAATCACCTGGCTGCCAATTTTGAACATCCAGACACCAGGGCGATTAGAAGAGCACAGGTAGGTGCCTTGCGCATCAGAGAGGCTTTGAAAACCAGTTTCATGACTAGCCAGGTTACAGTGTGATAGTTGTGTGTGTTTCTCCTTGATGCAAACCCGCCCCATTTGTTGATTTTTAATTCCCTGTAAGCCAACCACCCTCCCCGCTTTGATCACAGCTGGCAAAGGAAATAAAGTCACTATTGTTTTGAAACCATGCATTCTTTCTTTATTAATTAAAAAAAAGTGAGATAACTGATAAGGTATCCCAGGTGGGGTAGGGTGGGGTGCGGGAGGAGGGAAGGACAAGGCCACATTGCTTATCGTAGCCACACTACAAATCAAAATTGTTTGAATGACAGCCTTCTGTTGCTTGGGCCATCCTGTGGAGTGAAGTGGCTGGGTCCCCGGAGCCTCCCCCCGCCGCGTTCTTGGGCATTTGGGTGAGGAGGATATGGAACTTGGGGAGGAGGGCAGGCAGTTGTACAGTGGATGCAGCGGCGGTCTGTGCTCTTGTTGGCTTTCCTGCAGCTCCACCAGATGCCTGAGCATGTCCGTTTGCTCCCCCATTAGCCTCAGCATTGCATCCTGCCTCTTCTCATCGCGGTCACTTAATGCTTTCCTGGACTCTGCCACTGAATGCCTCCATGCATTCAGCTGTGCCCTATCAGTGCAGGAGGACTGCATGAGCTCGGAAAACATGTCATCACGAGTGCGGTTTTTTTTGCCTTCTGATCTGCGATAACCTCAGGGACGGAGATGATAGGGGGAGCATAGAAACATTTGCACCTGTGGGGGGATAAAAAGGGAGAGTAAAATTTAAGATGATACATTTGTGAGAACAAAAGGGAGACTCTTTCACAGTGAATCAAGCAATTCACAGCAGACAGCACATCTGCTTTAGGTACAAGGTCGCATTTGCCTTTTATATTGAGCGCCTGCCAGTATGGTGACACATCACACACGGCTGGGCAACAGAATTCGGTTTCCAGGCAGCCATGGTAAGCCAAAGGGTACACGGGTTTGGCTTCTAACACCTTGATAACATGTGGGAATGTTTTCAAACTGCAGTGCCCCCCTTTCCCATAGCAAGCAATGCCGGGCTGTGGTTTTTGGTGGATGTGCAGCACACACCTCCCCCCAGCCGTCCGCGTGGCTATTTGAGATGATCCCTTCACCTCTCCCCGCCGCGTGGCTATTCTCAAGGATGATCCCTTTTAGCCAAGTGCAAACAGTCCAGCATAAACAGGGTCCTTTTACTGTTACCTTACAAAAATTCCCCTATTTCAACCAGGTGACCATGAATGATATCACTCCCTGAGGTCAACACAGAAAGATATAGACTGAATGTTGTTTGAATGCGACCAAAACCCAGGACCATTCGCTGCCATGCTTTGTGCTGCAATGATTCCAGACTACTTGCTACTGGCTTGGCGTGGTAAAGTGTCCTACCGTGGAGGATGAAATAAGGCAGCCCTCCCCAGAAACCTTCTGCAAAGGCATTCAGAGTACCTCTAGGAGAGCTTCATGGAGATGTCCCTGGAGGATTCCCGCTCCATTGCCAGACACGTTAACAGACTTTTCCAGTAGCTGTACTGGCCACAAATGCATCCCAAGTCTTCAGGGCAAATCAAACATTAAACACTATTGCTTTTAAACCCTGAACTGTAGTTACAAATGTGCACTCACCAGAGGGGCCTTTCAGGGTTGTGGATCCCGCCTTGGGAGGGTATTGGCTCCAGGGTGATGAAAAGGTCCTGGCTGCCAGGGAGAACGGATTCACTGCTTGCCTGCTGAGCATTCTTCTCCTCCTCCTCCTCCTCCTCATCCACAAAATCCTCCTCCATGTTGTGTGAGACTCCCCCCCCCTTGCAGGTGTCCATGGACAGTGGTGGGATAGTGGTAGGTTCCCCCCCAGAAAGCTATGCAGCTGATCATTGAAGCAGCATGTATGAGGCTCTGACCCAGAGCGACCGTTTGCCTCATTTGTCTTTTGGTAGGCTTGCCTGAGCTCCTTGACTTTCACGCGTCACTGCTGTGTGCCCCTGTTGTACCCTCTGTCCATCATGCCCTGTGCAATTTTGGCATATATATTAGCATTTCTTCTTTGTGATCGGAGTTCTGCCTGCACAGATTCTTCTCCCCATACAGCAATCAGATCCAGTGTCTCCCGTTCGCTCCATGCTGGAGCTCGTTTGTGATTCTGTGCGGACTGCATGGTCACCTGTGCTGCTGAGCTCGCCACGCTGACCAAACAGGAAATGAAATTCAAAAGTTCCTGGGGCTTTTCCTGTGTACCTGGCTAGTACATTGGAGTTGGAGTTGAAAAGTGCTGTCCAGAGCGGTCACATTGGAGCACTCTGAGATAGCTTCTGGAGGCCATTAACGTTGATTTGCGTCCACACTATCCCAAAATCGACCCAGCAAGGTTGATTTTAGCGCTACTCCCCTCGCCGGGGAAGAGTACAGAAATTGATTTTAAGAGCCCTTTAGGTCGACGGAACGGGATTGCTTGTGTAGATGCATTCATTGTAAAATCGACCTAACACGGCTAAATCCGACTTAACCCTGTAGTGTAGACCAGGGCTGCGTGTCAGAACCCAGGCTCTTCACCTAAGCAGGAATGTCTACATTGCTATTTTTAACCCCACAGTTAAGCACGAGTCTGAGTCAATTGACCGGGCTGTGAGACTCATCACTGTGGGTTTTAATTTGTGGTGTAGATGTATATCATGGCTAAGGCTATGAGTTAGTCATACGTATTTTTAGTAAAAGTCATGGATAGGTCATGGGCAATAAACAAAAATTCATGGCCCATGACCTGTCCATGACTTGTAATATAAATACCTCTGACTGAATCTTAGCTGGGGGGGCCACTGCTCGGGTCCCTCCCCCCTGCCCCCGGGGCCAGCGGCACCAGCTGTCGGGCGTGCCCCCACGCCTCATAGCTGCTCCCGCCGTGATTTCCTCCACCTCCATGACAGATACAGAGCCCTAATCATGGCACTCTACAGGTGGAGAGGCAGTTTCTCATTGCTTCCCTTTGGGTGATTCCCTCCAGGAGTTCCATTCTCCTAGACTCCTGCTTCCTCTTTTAGGTGGGACAGCAGGTTCACATGATTGATCGTACTGAATGCTGTAGAGATTCAGGAGTATGAGATTGGATGTCTGCCTTCCATCTGTTGACATCAAGAGATAATCCATCAGTGCCATTAATGCTGTTTCTGTTTCATGTCCTGGCCTGTATCCAGATTATGCTAGGTCTAGAGTGGAAATTTTGATATGGCATGGTAGTTAGTCAGTTCAGATATACCGCCAGGTGGATTTCTTCATTATCGGTAGAACTGTTGCATGTCTGAAAGAGGAAGGGACATTGGTCTTTTCAGTCAGGAGGGATATCGCTTGTGACTCTCTTTCACCAACCAGGAAGGGCCTGGATTAGACTCACAGGTTTTTGATTGAGTCTCCTTCAGAATGCTCTGTAGTTGTGGAGTGAATGGGCTGAATTTAAGGAGCAAAAGTGCTGTTTACTGTCTGGTAAAGGGATATTAGCTACATGAAGCCTAAAAGACTTCCTGAATGTGTGTGATCTTTTCGTGAAGTGTTTGGTGCTAAGTTCTGCTTTGGACTGTAGGTTAGGGTTACCATACGTCCGGATTTTCCCGGACATGTCCGGCTTTTTGGGCCTCAAATCCCCGTCCGGGGGGAAATCCCAAAAAGCCGAACATGTCCGGGAAAATAGGGAGGGGCCGGAGCCGCTGGGTGCTGGGCCGGGGGCTGGCCCGGGCCCGGCGGTGCGGGGCCAGGGGTGCTCGGC